TTTCTTGCACTAAGAAAAATCAAAAGGAGGCTATGAATACATTCTTGTAGTGGTGGATCATTACACCAGATTTGTACAGGCCTACCCAACCAGGAACAAAACAGCTAAGATAGCTGCCAGCAAGATTTTTAATGACCACGTGTTGTGGGTTTACTCATCGGTTACATCATGATCAGGGCCGTGAGTTTGAGAACACATTATTTTATCAGCTCCAGAAGTACTGTGGAATGGCGAGATGTCGGATCACAACATACCACCCGGAAGGGAATGGTCAGGTGGAAGATTCAATCGCACCCTGTTTGGTATGTTGAGGATATAACCTCGGGAGGCAAAGGGAGACTGGAAATGCCATTTAGATCATGCATATAATTGTACAAAAATGCTTTTTGGTAGGCATCCCAGACTCCCAATTGACCTGATTTTCAAGCAAGAAAATACCTCAAAAATCGTTCCCCATGAGGACTATGTCGAGGCGTGGCAAAATCGCATGCAGACAGCATACAAATGGGCATCTCAAAACGCGGGAAATCAGCGGCAAAAGGCAAGAAGCATCATGATAAAAAGGGAACCAGTGCAGCATTAGATCTTGGGGATCGAGTACTAGTCCGAAATTGGCATGAAAGGGGAGGATCGGACAAACTAAGGTGGGAGGAGCACGTCTACACAGTCATACGACGAATCAATGACCACTCCCCTGTCTATGAGGTCATGCGGGAGGATAATAAAGGTCCTATTCGTCGACTACATCGCAACTTGTTGCTTCAGTGCAACAGTCTTCCTGTGGAAGTAGACAAATGTGAAAACCTAAAGAAATACCGAAGGTGAATTCAACAGAAAATGGAAACGCCTGCACTAAAACCGATAGTGGATGACTACAGTGAGTCTGATACAGATCTTGAAGTGACCCATCCTGCTTCAAATCCGTACGCTGGTCCTTTTGTACTGGAAGAAATTGTCACCCTCATTGTGATAAAAAGGTAATACAAATCCGTTCTTGACTAACTTCAGAATGTTTATCCTCCTCTTTTGTGACATTGAAGTCTCGAAATAAGACTAACTTTTGTAACTTTTAGCTCCAAAAGGGGGAAAGCAATGTCTTTAAGTTCGTTAATCCCCCCCCCCCCCCAATTTTTTGATAAATCTTTAATGCACTTAACTTGGTCTTGAGGTATATATACACTAACCAGTACTCCGCTTATCTTTTGAATTCATAATTCAGGGGTTTTACGTAACAATAGTTGGGCCCCTAGCATCACCAAGGACTGCTAGGACAAAACAGCTGTATGATGAAGTGTAATTCATTTGTTTGCTATAATTCAGTTGAAAAATAAATATGAAAATAATGTCAATTGATCACTAACATGATATAATAATCACTTTGGTCATTTTATGTGATTTATTTTGCAGCATTTCAGCATAAGATTTAATTTTCACTTTGTGGTTGTTATATTTATATACATATATTATAAAAGCAGAAAAATGATCCTTACGGACGAAGAAATCTTATAAAAATAAAATTCTCAACGAGTTTTTAGTACTTTTATCTCTTCTAGGAGATTCCTCAGACATACATATATATGACTGAAGACTGAGTGAGGCTGATGGCTAGGGTCATAAACAGTGGCCCGACAATTCCTTTTACACTGGAGATTGATCAGTGGAGATGTGAAAATTGTAAATTTTGGCTATACACCAAGCCATTTTTTTATGTATTGGCATACTTGCAAACTCTCTCTACGCCCTGGTATGTAGCTAGTTCTTTTTTATAATTTACTATAGGAATTAAAACAGGTTAAAAGCAGTGCGTGTTAGTTGTGTTGTTGATTTTGTATTAGTTCGATTGTGATGCATGTCTAGAATTCTGCTAGTGTTTCTGATTGGATGATTGTTTTGGGTAGCTATAGGAGGTTCCACTGTGTTATATGAGTGTCTGTATGTGTCTTTGGATGTGTAGATGCCGAAACTAATGTCGTGTCCTTGACGTATTCTGGTGTCTGAGGGGATGAGATTGTTTAAGGATTGGATGTCATATTTTTGACATGCTTTGGTGTGTAAGCGCGCACCGTGTTTAATATGTAGGTAAGCCAACGTTTGTTACACACCAATGCATGTCAAAAATATGATAACCAATACTTACATTTACATTTCATGTTGATCAACTTACAGTTCACGCAGAAATAAAGACATAATATTAGTCTGAACACGTTTCAACGTCAATGTAAATCCATACAGAGAACAGCCACCAGTTGACAGTGGAGCAGTGCAATCTCCATGGTAACAGTTATGACGTCATAAGCGTAGCGACGTCACAATGGCTCAATGTATGTTATACGGAAATAACATACATATAGGCTCCGTGTAGTGGAAAGGTAAATATTTGTGTGTATTCCTACTTGATGATGCATTATATCATTTTGTAGAGAAGAATAATGCATGTTCTTTTATGGTTGGCCTATGCAGGTTACAAGATCTAATGATTTCATCTGAAAGAACAACTCAAAATATGCCCTTTTAAATAGTGTTTTGGTCCCTTGGGGTATAAACACGCATTTTATTGTTTTTCATTTTGAGCAGGCAGAATCTCCCCAGGCATGGAAATTTCAAAAGGTTGACAACTGGCAAGTATGTGAACAATTGGTGACTTTTGGCAATAATCTGTCTAACCTCAGAAAGTTTGTTTGAGCTAACAATTTCACCCATTAAAATAGAAACATATACATCTCCATCATTTTTTTAAATTTTAAATGCAGATAATATTCATGATTTCCCTAATATTGTGCCGTGGATCTTGATTTGTATTTCATTTCACAGGTGTTTGAAATTCTGACTGTAAATCGAGATAAAAATCATATAGAAACAAGCAAATTCGTGGAATTTATACACCCCGCTGCAGGACATATTGTAGGTAAACATTATTGAGGTTAGGTTTAAACATGTGAATATCGTGCTGTTGAGACAAAATGTATAGCTTGAAACTTTGAGAGAAAAAAAGCCTTATACAGAAGTTAGACTTTTTATTGAACATGTAGGTATTACGGTGTAAATTAATCGGTTAATCCATCAGAACTTACTAACCTCAATAATTATCCGTAAATATGCACAAATCACATCGGTTGGCAAACTTAGCATGAGTCGGATGTACATACGGAATTTGGTTGAAATATCTGCACAATATCTACAGCAATTATCACACAAAAACCAATGAATGCCCGAGATGGGTGGAAACACAAAGAAACACAAACATTGTTATCAAGTTTAAAGGAATTTGGCTAATATTTGCTAGAGTTATTAAGCGGAAACTGCAAATAATGATGTTTTTCGTTAATCAAGGGGCCATAACTCCGCAAATGGAGTCCAATTAAAGTGGTTGTCAAACTTAGCCAAGCCCTTAATGCGTTTAACACTGTTACTAAGTTTGAAGACAATCGGATAATATCTGCAAGAGTTAATAAACAGAAACGGCAGATAATGGTGTTTTTCGTTATTCAGGGGGCCATAACTCTGCCAAATAAAGTCCGCTGAAAGTGGTCATCGAACTTAGTCTGCTCCTTAAGGCATTTAACCCTATTACCAAGATTGAAGAAAATCGGTTAACATTCATGCAGTTATTGCACGGAAACGGCAGATATGATGACGTTTTTCGTTATTCAATTGGCCAGAACTCCGCCTAATGAAGTTCGCTGAAATTGGTCATCGGACTTGGCTGAGCCCTTAAGGCATTTAACTCTGTGACTAAGTTAGAAGAAAATAGGTTAATATGTGGTGCAGTTATTGCACAGAAACAGCAGATAATGAAACTTTTCGTTATTCAAGGGGCAATAACTCCGCCAAATAAGTCCGCTGAAAGTGGTCGATGGACTTGGCTGAGCCCTTAAGGCATTTAACCCTGTTACCAAGTTTGAAGAAAATCAGTTAGCATTTGTTGCAGTTTACTGCACGGAAACGAAACGTGACACACAGACAGACATACCCAAATTAATATCCCCCGTTTCGGTTTTTTTTTAATATGATTTCTATCTGAATTTACAGTCAGAATTTCAAACACCTTTGTTCATTTCGATTTTTGTGTGGACTCTAACCTACCAACCCCGGATATACTGAAGGGGGTGATGACCTTCTTTTGAAAATAAAAGAGGGTCATAGCGCGCCACATCTTTTTTTCACAACAAATATAAAACAAGAGATTCCAGAGGGATCTTGGCGCCAACCATTGTACCATCTTCATGAGTTCTTTGTCTGTTCGATCTTTTCTCTTCTTTCCTCTAATTTGTTTGATCGAGTCATGTTAACAGTAAATGCACCTTGAGGTAACTTTTGATCTAAGCTTAATACTGATGTGTATGAAAGCCAACCTTCAAAGTGAGTTTGTCATTTCACATACTTACTAGTACAGTACTTAATGTAAAAGAAATAGAATCGATCATTGCAATATGAGAAAGATCTGTTTAGTTCTTCCTTTAGTCATTTTGTTTTTATGATCAGTCTTAAAATATAACATGCACAACGAGGGATCAAGGGGCAACTACATATCAAATTTGAGAAATATGCCTCATGCCCAAATAATTTTGGGAAGAAATATTTCCATAGCATTTAACACAATTTAAATTACATATAACATGACAATGTTTGTAATATGTAAAACAGAATAAAACGTTATATTTTTAATTCTTCAACCCTAGTTAAAACCTGACATGATCCACTCACTTTTCACAACTTTTGGTCGCTCGAGCAAGGGAACAAGGGGAACCTACATATAAAATTTGAGAAAGATCCCTCCCGAACTTCCGGAGAAATAGCGGTAACAAACCTTCACTATCAAAATCCAAGATGGTTGCATGTCGGCCATGTCGTTTATCCGATCAGTCTCAAAAGTTGCCCTGCACACCTAGGGACCAAGTGAAACCTACATATAAAGTTTGAGAAAGATCCTTCTGGTACTTCACGAGAAATAGTGATAACAAACTTTCACTATCAAAATCCAAGATGGCTGCCTGTCGACCATGTTCTTAATTTTCATACCATCAAAATACAAGAAGAAGGCTAAGTCGAGGCCTCGCCAGACTCAGTCTGCGGCTAAGGTTAAGTCTAATTTTAAGGTCAAAGCCAAGGGTAAGGGCAAGCAGAGTGCCAAACCCTCTGGGGGTAAGAAGCTGTATTCCTGACTTCTTCCCTCCTTTCACAACTCTTTCGTTTCATTCCGGGCAAGTAGATCAGAGGTCTCTTTTACCCGGTCTCATAACGGTCGTAGACAGCCCCCTAAACGTTTGGGAAGGTCTTGGCCTTCCTCAACCGGACCTTCCAGTAGGAGGTCGACTGTCCGCCTTCTTTCCTCAATGGAAGGAGATTACTCAGGACAGTTGGGCATTGTCAATAGTTGCGGAAGGATTGAGCATCCCGTTGTTACGGGAACCTCCGCTCACAGCAGAGCCAATCTTTTTCCCACCCCCGGTGGATCTAGAGAAGGCTCTAGCTGTCAGACGGGAAATTGCTACCCTGGTCGAGAAGAGTGCAGTCGAGGAGGTCCCACGGCACCGGTTCTCTCCAGGCTTCTATTCCCGATTTTGTCTGGTGAAGAAAAAGTCGGGAGCTTGGTGCCCGATTATAGACCTAAGGCCAAAAAAGATAAAAGTCTGTTAAGGGTTGCATGGGCAAAAAAACAAGGGTAGGTAGGTCGGATTTTTTGTTTGTATATTTTTGTCTACCATGCGGTCATGTGATTATGACCCTACAATTGTATGTAAAACAAAGAATTACATAAACAAGGTTCATTTGGAGGCAAATTGTGCTCCATATGATGACATTTAGCGCCAACACGGAGTTGGAGGTCATTTTGAAAGGCAAGGAACCTTCTAAAATTCGAAAAACAGCGGGTTTTTTTTTTTTTTTTGTTTAAAAAAAAAAAAAAATCAAAAAAAATCAAAAAGTTTTGGGTCGGGGATGAAAAGCTAGGGTCGGTCGGGAACCCTAAACTAATCTTTTGTTTGGACTAAGTGCCTTCAATCGGTTCGTGGGCTCTCCCCACTTTCAGATTGAGACCCCGAGAGGCATTATTACCTCAGTCAGGGAGGGAATATGGGCTACATCAATAGACTTGAAGGATACCTACTTCCACATTCCCATGAGGAAGTCGGACAGGAAGTATCTTCACTTCTCATGCGAGGGCAAGATATTCCAGTTCCGGGCTATGCCTTTTGGCCTTACCACAGCCCCAATGGTTTTTACCAAACTACTGCAGGTTGTGGTAGGTTTCCTGCACCAGCGGAGTATCAACATCCATATTTACTTCGACGACCCCCTCATGCTTCATTCACTGAGGGAGTCCCTGGTGCAGGATAATCGACTGGTTCTGAGTTGTTTTCTTTCTCTAGGTCGGGTTCATCCCCTCCCGAGAGAAAACAGAACTGTCTCCCTCCCAGGACTTTGTGTTCCTAGGCTACCGGTTCAACGTAGCCAGGGGTATAATCCTTCCAACTCAGGAGAAATTCATCAAGGCAAGGAGTCCGGTGCTTCAGTTTATCCAGACTTCTGCGGTACAGGTTCGTTGGTACCTCAGTCTGCTGGGGTTTCTCAACTCACTAGCAGATGTAGTTGCTCTTGGCAGGCTGCACATCAGACCTCTGTAGATTTTTCTTCTCAGCCATTGGGTTCCGGCGTCGCCGGATTGGGAGGCTTTTATTCCTCTGTCAGTCGGTCAAAGAATTTGCCCAATGGTGGACAATTCGGAACAACGTCCTGAAGGGGGTGTCCTTGCACAGGAGCTCACACACCATGACCCTGTATACCGATGCGTCAAACACAGGTTGGGGGCGTACCTGAACGGGCAGGCTCGCTCAGGTTCATGGACAGGGGATCATCTTTCCGAGCACATCAATGTGCTCGAGATGAGAGCAGTGTTGTTGGCCATCCAATCATTATGATAATTAATGATTTGTTGAAAAACAACACAGACTACTCTTTCTCGTCTTTTAAGGAATTTTGTGATCTACATGGTACAATAACTAATTATCTAGAATATCATGGCTTGATAACAAGCATAAAGAATTATCTGAAACAACTTAATTTGCCAAACAAAAATGTGATATACCCAATTATACCGTTACATCTTGTAATAATTTTAAAGAAGAAAAAGGGTTCTCAAGACTTCTATAATATACTTATCAGAAATAATGCATCAATAACTGCTCAAACAAAATGGGGAACTATATTCGACTATAATCAGGAAACTTGGGGGAAAATATATGCTATTCCTTTCAGGGTTACAAAAAATACAAAATTGCAATGGTTGCAATTTAGAATTAATCATTATATTTTAACAACCAATTCTTATTTATGCAAAATTGGACTTGTAAATAACCCACACTGTGTTTTTTGTATCATAGAAAGGGAGACAATTACCCACGTTTTATGGGAATGCAGGGAAGTACAAAAATTTCTGAGCAATTTTGAAAGTCTTTTAAGTGCTCTCACTATTCCTTTCTCACTAAATAAAGAATCAATGATCTTTGGTTTTATCAACCAAACTGGAATTTATACCAGAATTGATAATGAAATTACTCTGTTCATTAAACAATATATATACAAAACCAGATGTTTTCATAAGTCACTTAATGTGACGGCTTTAGTCAATTCGATTAAAGATTACTATAAGGTTCAGAAATATATTGCTCGTGGTAAAGGGGAACAAGGCCTTAGAAGATTTACTTCTGAATGGGAAAAATGGTTAAAATTAGTAGAGCTTGACCTCAACTAACCCTGAATATTATGACTATTTATATTAAGTTATTAGTTGTTATTCTACTTAAAAAAA